TATTATGTTGTTATCTCTCTCTTTCCCTCTCTTGTCTTCTCTCTAGCTCTATTCGTACTATTCTCAGTTTATGCATCTGGAACTCGATTACCTTCTTGCTGCGTCTGCTTAATCCCTCTCATGCTGCCTCTCCTCTCTCTCCTCTTTCTCTCTCTTCTTTCTCTTTCTCTTTCTCTTTTCTCTTTCTCTTTCTCTCTCTCTCTCTCTCTCTCTCTGCTCTCTCTCTCTCTCTCTCTCTCTCTTCTCTCTCTCTCTTCTTCTCTCTCTCTCTCTCTCTCTTCTCTCTCTCTCTCTCTCTCTCTCTCTCTCTCTCTCTCTCTTCTCTCTCTCTCTCTCTCTTCTCTTCTCTCTCTTCTCTTCTCTCTCTCTCTCCTCTTCTCTCTTCTCTCTCTCTCTCTCTCTCTCTCTCTCTCTCTCTCTCTCTCTCTCTCTCTCTCTCTCTCTCTCTCTCTCTCCCTCTCTCTCTCTCTCTCTCTCTCTCTCTCTCTCTCTCTCTCTGTTATATTTTCAATTTTGGCTGATACAATTTTAGATCTAGTTGACCACTGTAGCAGCATACAATTTTTTTTTATATAATTAACCCTTTGCATACAGTTGGATCAGGGCAATCGCATGGCTAAAAATATGGGAAGTGAGTTACGTAAATTGCCGATAGTAGAACTTTTAGGAAAGCCCATATGTTAAAAAAGTGATATAACAAAGTCACAGTGAATATTACAAGACAAACATGCACTCCTTGTGCATGTTTAGGCTTAGTTCTTATACATTGTTATATGCTGATGCAGAAAATACAATTCTGGTTTTAGTGTGAATACAGTATTTAAATCAGTGGCCAGTAATTTGTTTATCCATTAACCTGTTGGATCAGTTTGTGTCACGGCAATCACGTAGCCAAAAATAAGTTAAGTAAGTGGCCAATTAGCTGGGTGTGCAGTGTATAGAACACTTGTGAGCGGTGACAAGACTCTGTTCCTCCCATTTGCAAAGTTATTCTGCTAAAATTTTTTAACCTTTTTTGCCATTTTCCAATGTCTGTATTTGTCTATCGATTTACTTTTTCCCAATGGTAATTGATTGTTTTCCTTGCACAGACTGCATATAATCTCTCTATATAGTAATTAACTCGGTGAAAAAAAAAACAAAACATTTTTACTGCAAGTCATGGTGGCCGGGAATACAATGCTGAGCATGAAAATGGCGTCTTCCCTGCAGCCGTCGCTCTTACAGTCACGGCTTACACATTACATTCCACACTCGTTTATAGATAGGAATAATGTGAAATTCCCCCTGTAAATGCCAAATGAGTCTAATCACTCTCCAAGTGGTTTGTGCACTATTGGCAGGTCTTTTCTGTTACCCTGGCCTTCGCTCATGACAGCATATTTGCATCACCTGGCCCATGGCCATTTTGTCCCACGACGATATGTTCATATCACCCAGCAGTCAACCCAAATATTTCCAGGATGGTATGGTAGGGGTCAGTGTGTAGCTTATAATTATTATTATTTTCTTTTTTCTTTGCTAAATGGATTTATTTAAAAAACATTAATTTATTTATTTATGTTAATTCTAAATTTCTGTTGGCCACCCTGAAAATTATTCAGAATCTTATTATAGGAGGATTTTAGTCTTATGATCTCATTGAGAAAAATATATTATTCATAATTAAGGAATGTATGCCATGGCTTATCTTGGCATACTACAAACCAACAGGGAGATCAAATGCTCACAGTAAGAATTTAGTGGCAGGCCGTTTAAAAGTGTGAGTTATGACATGATTATCTTGACTGAGTTTTGCTCTTTTCTGCAGTTGGTAAAGAATTAGGCACCCTAAGATTTGAATAACAAAGCAATCTTCTGTGACAGAGCACAGTATAGCGTACTGAAAGTGAAAACAGGGTTAAAGGCAGTTAGGTTTTAGGATAAGGAATATGGATGCCTATTATGGTAAAAAGTACATAGAATCAACAGCTTTTGTTTTTTAGGGATGAAAATCTGGGAAAGTTTGCCACATTTGCTCAGTGTAACACTGTCTAAAGTGCAAAGTGTATAGCTCAAAAGAGACTTTGTGGATATTGTCAAACTACCCAAGGATTCATGGAATCTTGTGATTTTTAATGGAATTTGCCTATCGATGCATTAATTCCACTGAACTTTCGCCCATATGTTCAATGTGATGGATACCCACTCGTGAACGAATGGAAAAATTGCATGCTTTGAGACTGTCTGGTATGCATGGTATGCATGTATATTCATTTCAAAGCATAAATATTATTATATGTTTTGAATTGTTCAGAATTACTCATATTTAGTTTTACATTGTTTACATTTAGATTTAAGCTAAGATGCAAATAAGAAAATGAAAACAAAAGCATGACCATGGATTCTCATTTTACGGACAAATATAAACAAACACGTAACTGCCAACTTCAATTTGAAACCACAGATCCTGTAAATATTCAAAAAGTAGAATTCTCAAGCAGTTGACTCTTTCCTAGAAAAGGTTAGAACTCCGGAAACAATAAAGGACCAAGAGTTAAGGAGAAGATTGCGGGATCCATAGCGAGTTTCTACTATATATTTTGATGCCGCGATTCCACTGGACAAAGTTGATGGTTCTTTTCACAGTGTGAACACCATGGATGGGTGGGTTAATTCCAATGCACAGAAAATAGTTGGATTCCAGTGAAATTTATGAATAGTCTGGTCAGACTGCCCATAGATTTGTGAAATCCATCAATTTTTAATGGAATTTGCCCATCAGTGGACTCAATCCACTGTACCTTTGCCCTGGTGAGTATCCATCGATGCAATGGATACTCTAGTCATTCTATAGACAAATGGAAAAATTGCAAACATTGCGAGTCTGTAGTATGTATGGTGTGCATATATTTTCATTTCAAAGCGTAAATATTATTACACATTTTAGATTATTCAAAATTATTCATATTTAGTTTTTCATTAATATTTACATTTAGATTTAAGTTAAGATATGAATGAAAAGTAAAAAAACGCATTGACCATGGATTCTCATTTGTCTGATGAATATAAACAAACGCATAGCCACCAATTTGAAACCACAGATCCTGTGAATATTTGAAATGTGGAATTCTGAAGCAATTTACTCACTTCCAATGTCTTTTCTTGCTTCTCTTGCTCTTCTTATATTCTCTATAACTACGGAAACATGAAAGAATAGCAAGAGTTAAAGGGGAAGATTGCAGGATCCATAGCGAGTTTCTACTGGACAAAGCCGATGGTTCTCTTCACAGTGTGAACACTATGGATAGGTTGGTTGGTTCCAGTTAAAAAAAAAA